CCTTGCAGCGCATGGTAACAGGAGGGAGTGTGGTCAAAACTCCAGGAACTGTGGGCTGCACAGCAGAACAATGGCAGCTGTATGGAAGCTCGTGTAAGCTAAAGCCTGACTTCAGTTGCTTGTGGCATTTGTTTCTGTGTCACCTTTGCTGCATCTGTATCTCCTGTTAAGAAGTCCAGAATCTGATTCCAGCCCATAGCCTGATAAACTGGCTCAGTCACCTTAATAAGTTGAGAACCAATATCCTCCTTCATCTATTTCCTTTTCTTCTCCATTACAGAAAGGCTGGAAGGAGAAACCATTTAAAATGAACTGGACATGTGTACTTAAGATGATGAGCATCACAAAGTTTTGGAAATGGGCTTGTAGTGTGTCTCGGCTGATAGAATTCCTTCAGAGCTGCAGAAACAGTATCACCTAATCATTTATAGGGTGAAGCAGGGATTGAGCACAAATACTATTGATTTCTAACTCTTCACTGTGTCCACTATGGAAAACACAGCACCTTTGAATACACACACGCATAACTGTAGTGACATGATTTCTTACGCTGCTGGAACATATTTGTACATGCAGAAATGCTACCTGCGGCTAGGTGGCAGCACTCCACTGAGCTAACCGGACCATCTTTGATACTTGCATACAGCTATGTACGCTCCCTGAACAACTAGATCTGAAGAATTAATCACCGATGCCTCTTAGAGGCCTGTGCTAAAGACAGGTAAGATAGCTGGAAAGCAATGACCAATACTTCATGGATCTTTGCTGTACAAAACTATGCTCTTTTAGGTTTTAGAAAAGAAATTAAACCAGATGAGTTCCAGGTGACCTGCTTCCCGGCCTGCAAACCTTTTGATAAAAGTACAAAGAGAAACATTTTTTTTTTACCATTAAGGAGGCCATGTATCATACTTCCATTTTTGTCTCATAATGTACCTTCCAAAGTCAGTTGCTGCTAAAGGTCTTTGTCATGGAACAGCCCCTTACTAGGCCAGGTGCAGTGCAAACAAAACTCACTGGCTTGATTTTTGGCCCCATCACATCAGCTTGGGCAAAGGAGGTTTTGTTTAGATCTAAGTGTACATTAAGTTTAGATTGGGATCAGATGAAAATGTAAAACAGGAATAGATTTTGGATTTTGTGGCTACACAGTCAAGGGAGCTGATTTGGGGAGGGTCAGTCCAAGTCTCAGCTAGAAAAACAGGCCCCTTCCAATTTTGGACTTGATATAGATTCCAAACCCTAGAGGTGGGTTTAAATCCAGGTTCTTAAGTCCCCTCCCCATCATGGATACCAAGAGAAACGGCGGCATCTGAGGTTCCATGTACAGTCCACCTTGAGTTCAAAACCTTTGTTATTAAGAAATCATTTGCACAGCGTAGAGCTGAACCAGCAAATCTAAGAATAATAGATAAAGGGAGCAGTGAGGAGAGTGTGGGAAGTGTTGAGGGTCAGGATGAATTAACCCTCTATGGTGTAGCTTCAATATAGTTCCACTACTGGTTCAGGAGATGGTCCTTAGTCTCGTATCTGCTTTCCTACGTATCGCCTATCTGATGTGATCACTGATATCTGTTTTGAGTCACCTTCTTCCTTCTGAGGACCAGGCACTGGATTTTACCTCGCAGCAGGCTAGAGAGAGAGGCTGTGCAGCATAGATGCTTGGAAGAGTGGCAGCACTTGCCCCCAAAGGGACAAGACATTGGCATTGATTTCCTTCTCCACTGGTGACATTTTTACCGTGTTAGTTCATCACCCCCTCAGAGTCCTTAGGGCTCCATTAACAAAGAAAAAACTATGCTCCAGGCAGCTCCCTCTTCCTATATTAGGCGAAGGAAGGGAAAACTTTCTCTTCAGCTGAGTAATCAATCCATCCATGCCCTGATACTATGAGAGAAGAGCTTTATTAACCAATAAAGGGAGAAGCTGAGAGTGACCATCTCTCCACCTTGCCTAATACTTCTGAAAGATCCTTGCAACCTTTTCTCTGAGAGGCTCTCGCACCTTTGTTGTTTGCCATGGGCAGGAGGAAAGCCCCATACAATTCTGCTCAGATTTTAGGTGAGTTGTAAAGACTTAAGAATTGACTTTTTCTTTCGCTCATTTCTGTTCCTCAGAAAAACTGTGGAGGCTTGTTCAGATCTTGGTTTTTTTTTTTGCACAAATACACACACACACACATAAAACTGTACCTTTAACAACTCATCAAGTGACCACTGTGGTTCACTTGGTAGACAAAAGCATACTTTGACGGTTAAACTGTTTTAGTCCCGTTACACAGTTCACACCGCGCACCCATCACCATCCCACTGCTTTTACTCATTGTTCTCTTCAGAGGTTTTCCTCTCAAAAGTCTGTGCCAGTCCCCTCTCCACCATATGAGGTCTGTCATTTCTTTCCCATTGTCTCTTCTGTCTTTCTGTAGTACCAATACATTTCACTCTGCCTCATTTTAATCCAGTCTTCAACTGTCGGGGTTGAGTGTCTGTTTATGAGCAGGTTCCTGGCTTTCCAAAGTGAATACCTGAAGCAGGATCAGGATGTGAACTGGTTGAAGCGGGTTTTTGGGGTCCCTTACTGTCTGGTCACGTGCCCATAGAGAACTATTTCCCTGGTCAGGTTTCTGAAACCTGTCACCACCAGGAGGAGCACATGGATTTTCTTCCACACCTCTCTAGCATATAGGCAGTCCCACAAAAGGTGGTAAATTGTTTCTGCCTGCCAGTGGCAGGTCTGCTTCGGGCAATTTGATGGACCTCTCTGCCACGCACTGTTTTTCCATGCCCACACAGAGAGTGCCTGGTGGGCTGCCTGCCAATTAAGGTCTCTATGCTTCTTCTGCAGGTCCTTGTGCAAGATTTGCTCCCACAGGGCCTGGCAGCTCTCACCAGGTAGTAAGTCTATGGGTGATTACATCATTCTTTTTTTTTTAAGGAAAATTTTTCATGTCCCAAGTCAAATCAGCTAAAATCAATCTGAAATCCGTGAGTCATTCAAGAACCGTATGTGGCCCTACTACCGGCAAACTTCCTCCACCCCCACCTGGGGCTTCACATGCTTCCAAATCCTTTGGCGGGCATCCTCCGTGCAGGCCCAAACCTGGAAGCTTGGGGTTCAGATGCCCCTGAGTTTCGCTGGCCCTCAGCCATATGGCTGTAGGAACAAGCTAGGGAAAAGTCTCCCAGGACCAGAAAGTGGGCGTAAAGCCAAGATCTTCCCACTGGAAATCAAAGTGGGAGGGTTACTATACATTACTTCCACCTGAGTTACTACCCCGTGCCAGAAAAGTAGTTAGCCCCTGTCCCTAGGTAAACAGCCTTAGTGGTCACAGTATTTCCCCTGCCAGGATCAAGTTAGGGAGAAGTGAACAGGAAATACCCAAATGCTCCTGCCAGAACAGCAGCAGCAGGTACTGCACGTTGAGCACGTGACATTTGCTGTGGTAGTGACAGCAGGAGCAGGGGGGCTTCCTGCCACAAACACTCCTTGCCCCTACCCTGGCCTCAGCATTTTGTGCTTTCCTGGGTACACAATGTGGTGCAGAGAAAGAAAGCCATATTTAGCTATTCCCAGTCACCCTCTGGACCTAGTTAATGGTCACAACAACACATCCTTGCATCTGAGATAACTGTCTTCTGTTGCCAGTTACTGTAGTGAGTCCTGTAACTGTAGTAGGTACTGTTTTGCATTGCTAATGATTCAGGTTTCAAATCTAGCCAGTATATTTGGGTGGTTGGGTGGAGAAACTAATCAAACTGTTCTTTAACGTTATTCTTTTTTTGTTTGTTTGTTTGTTTTTAAAAGGAAAGGACATACATGAAACATATTAGAGAACGTTATTCAAGTTGCAAGGTGCAAAGGAAGTGCAATTTTTTGTTTGATTGCTTTTATAACCGTAAGTCAAATCACTTGTACGTATTTATTGGAAGACAGCCTTGAATTGCATGATCACATACCATTTTTTTCCATCTGACCTCATTCATGTAACATGACAGAAGCAAATTAAGGTAGTATGGCAACCAATTGTAAACCTGGCATTTTCTAACTTTTGATCAGTTGACTTTGAAACCCAAATCATTGTCCTCTAATACATTTTTTGCATGTAATAGATAAACAAATTAATCTGGTCTTTGAGCCACAAGAGGTGGGTGGGGGAAGAGACAGAGAAAATTAAGAAAATCATGCCAGGTGCTAACGGTCACTGGTTATATACAAGCATTTAATTTCAGAGAGAAAGCTGGGAAATTCCTCTTCTGTCAACTGTTAGTTCAGTAACTTCCCAGGCCAGAGAGGTGAGTTCCCCTCTACCCTGTATCTGCCTATATTTGCAAAACATTAGTCAGCTATATAAACAACACACTGTTTATGAGTGCTTGGGTCTAAGCCATCTGTGGTTTCCCTGACCCTGTAAATCATTGGGTTATTAGAAATGGGCAAAAATGCTCTCATTTCACAATTCTTCTATATAAAAGGGACATGTTTTTCACACCGAGTTTAATGAAAAAATCCTGTTTTTCAAGCAGCTCCACTGGTTACTTAGGGAAGTGAGTATTTGTCAGTTTAACAGCACCGATATGAGGGCAAGAGAAAGATTATCTAACTTCTGTCAGCTGCCCCATCCCCACTCGGAGCCAGATTGTCACATGAAAGAAAATTCCCAGTAGGGAACAGAGAAGTGCAATTTTCCGCTCGCTGAGCTTCTACTTAATTGTCTAGCCAGGAAAGAAGGAAAGCAGTGCTTGCTGGGCTAGAAGGAGAGCTGGTGCTGTACTGTCCATACTACATAAGGCAATGTAGACTCCACTGACTTTGTCCTGCATGTGAACTTCCTTGGGAGTGGAGGAGCTGCGTGGGATTTGAAAAAGTCTGCCAGACCAAGAGCCTCCCCTTTCCAATCTTCAGGGCTTTCAAGAGGACCCATCAAGGGATAGCCACGGAGGTATAATATTATCCAATTGGGCTTGGCAGATAGGGTTTTCTTTCATTTCCGAGTTCTCACTTCTTCCGCAACCCACACATCCTTTTTAAGTCAGCAGATTTTACAGGAACCTCTGTGATGCACACAGAAATTCCACCACCCGCTTAGACAGTACTTAAAACTGTGTGTCAGACTTGCAGTGGCTTAGTTCCTCCTTGATTCAGCTTTGCACTTTTCTCTCCCAGTTTGTTTCTCAATGGAAAGCACTGAGTCCTGCTATGTTTGCTGCTTAGTCCAAGATTATCTGAAATATGTTCTTCAGGAATCACAGCCTGGACCAGCCCCAAGCAGAGTGGCTCATGTCTTGCGAAACATTGCATCCTCTTTGCAAAAGGAAACTGAAGAGAATCTAAAGCCATTCTTGGACACACTTGAATTTTCATCTATAGAAGCTGCCAGAAGAATTTTCACCCAAGTCATGGAGCAAGAATTTGCTGATGGCAATACCAACTGGGGACGGATTTTGACAATATTTATGTTTGGAGGAATTGTCACGAAGAGGCTTCAAGAGCATGGAGTTCGGCTTACAGGAGAAAATAAAGAGCAGATTTCAGATTTCATCACAGAGTACATCATGAACAACAAGGCTGAATGGATAGAGGCAAATGGAGGTTGGGTAAGTTTAAGTCCAGTATTTTGCTGGGTTTTTGGTTGTAGCCATGTTGGTCTAAGGACACAGGCAGGCAGGGTTCTTTGAGTAGTCCAGTATTTTAGCATTTTTCATCATAGAATAAATCAAAATTGAATTAAAAAAATATGTCTTTAAAGCCTTTGTCAGCAGCATATCAAGCTTGTTCAGGGATTTACTGGAATTTACCAGTTTAATTCATTTTTTGCATACCTTGAATTCCTCATAGAGCAAATATCTTTCTTCAGATTTAAACTGTAGAAAGACAAAACTCTTCTTTAGAGTACTTGCTGCAGCATAAACCACTGAAGTAGGACTCAGGTCATTTGTAGCACACTTTTGTCAAAGCCAAAGCTAAAGCTCAGCCCCTAGTGAAATGGTGCAGTAATAATGCTTATTTATAGAACCTGATCCAGAACTTAATGGCAGTCAATGGCATGGGAATGGGAACACTTCAGTATTGAAATCCTGACCCTGTGCAATCAATAGAAGTTTTGCCATGACTTCAGTGAGACCAAGATTTCATCCCATGTCAATTTACTTGTACAATCTGATAGTCAGATAAAATTGGGATCAAATCCTGCTTGCTCTCTTCATGTACTGAGACTATTTGTTTGAATGGAAACTGGCCAAGGTATTCTCTGGAGAGCCACATTTGTCAAATATGAGTAAAACATACGGAAAAGTAGTATGTTGCTTTGTCCTGTGCATCATGGCCTTTCAGTGAAACACCTCTATACCGATGGAGGCCTGCTTAAAATTCTACTCCCCTACTTTGCAGGTTTCAGCACACAAACATGGTTTTCTGTAGGAGGTTAGGGGAAGTTGCAAGCAAATGACATCTGAGCGTGGTATTCCCCTGATTCTTCTCTTTATCTAGTTTCTTTTTTCTAATTTACAAATTTAGCTTTTTCTTCATCCATCGTCTCTGGTCCTCATTCTATTGTGAATGGAGTTACTTTTAAATTGTGATGTCATCTACAATGGTGAAATTGGGTTTCTTTTCTTTTTCTGATTTTCTTTTTCTGCCTTCTCCCACTATTTTTCCCTTTTCTCTTTCTCTTTTTTTCTTTCTCTCTTCCATTTCCCTTTAGCCACCTCTTTTTAGTAAGAAGAATTACTGCTGCTTTCTTGTCTATTTTCAGAGGTTCATCTCTCAATTTCTTTCAAGTGAAGTTATCTATATAAGGTCAACAGCAGTTTCTGGCAACCCTGTGTTTAGCAGTATTTCCATCCTACATATGATCCTGCCCCCAGAGAGAGCAGCAGGCAGGAAGGACATATTCTTGACCATGATCTGATCCAGAGATAAGACAGACACTGAATGAAGTGCAGATATTTTCAGCTATTACTTTTAGAGCACAGTCCACTTATTTCTGAGTTAGTTGACTGGAATTGTAGGCACAAGGTTATGTCACCCTCTGTTGAACTGCAGTCAGAAGACAACAATGCACTTTGCACATGAGCTTATTATTTTGAAGCAATAACCACATTTTTGTTTTGTTTTTTTCCTATAGGAAAATGGCTTCCTTGTGAAGTTTGAGGGTCAGAAATCGTGGCTGTCCTTATTTGATGTGAAGGCAAGAATCATGGCTGTTTTCTCCTTCTTCAGTCAATATTATTGATTAAAAATGGACCTGTCCTCCTGCATGCATCAACTGGATATTCTTCTTCTTTTTCATGTGTCTCTACACATTTGACCATTTTGTTACACATGCTTGTGTTCATTTGTTGTACTGTGTGAGGTCTTTCATTGTACATGTGCCTTCAAGCAATGGGCCTTGCAGCAGGTGTTGCATAGTCTGAGGCTCTGTGCTGCAGTCACGGGTGGTTGAACCAATGGTATAACCTCACTTCTTCATTAGTTCCTGAGTGGAGGTTGAGACATCACCACCTTTGCCATGGTTCATCAGCCTGTGGTGGTAAGGACTCAGCTGCTGGAATGTCCATTTTTCCACTGTCAAGTATTTTCTTCAGCCTCTTGTTCCTCATCTGTAGTTGCCTCCTTGGGTGTGGCATCAAGAGGAAGCTCCTGCATGACTTCAGACATTTGTGTGCTGCGGGATGGTCACAGTGGGCATCTCACATCTTCAGTTTGGCTTGATCATTCTATTCTGCTAGCCACTGCTCTTCTGATGTCAGGTGGAGCAATGCCAGCCAGCAGGTATACATTGTTTGGGCTGGCAGGCTTCATACATCCTGTGATGCATTGGCAGCTATTGTTCCAACTGGGGTCGAGGCAAGACTCATTGCACTGACTTCCTTTCAACAACTCCGCCAAGGCTAAAATAAAGGAGGGTTTTTTTTTTGTTTTTACTTTGTTAATTTATTAATACACATAATCAATATGCCCAATGTGGCTTCTTTGACCACAGTAGAAACTGGAGTCCTCCAGTATGGAAGAGTACCAGTCTGCCAATATAAGTCAAGGAGAGCAGTCAAGGAGACATTGCTTATAGGAAAAAGTTCATTATTCATGTTCATTCAATCTAGGCTGTTGTGCTGCACATATGTAGAAAAGCACTGAGTTATAAGCATGATCTAGTTGGGGGTGGGCAGCATAAATTGTAATTGTTTTGTAAATGCATCTTGCTTTATTGCTGTGGACCCAACTCTTCATTGGTCCATAGGCAACAATACCAAACAATTAGTGCACTGCTATTTACATCATCATTTGCTTTCCCTGTAAATTTTAGTTTTAATATTTTCAGTTCTTACAGCTAGAAATAATATTGGAGGGTCTCATAGGCAATATCTGGCCTGAAGCTATGGGATGGGAACAACGGCTTATTTTATTTTATTGCAACTTTATTATATGCAAAAGATATTTTTTCACTAAAGGAAAACATGATAAACATCCTTTATGTAAGTGCATCAGAGTTTATGAATAGATCAAATACTTATTATAGAACCTGTAACTTAAAATGTTGGTCCATTACACAAAATGTGTACTCCTGTTTACTGTCAGTTCAATGGCATTTGTTTAATTTCTTTTTTAAAAAAAGGTTCTTTGTATGTACAGTTGCTACTTTTATAAACAGCAGTAAGGTAGCGATTTAATTTCTTTTTAAAGAGATTTTTTTTAAATGGTGAAGTGCAATAAAAATATTTGAAGTCAATAAACTCTTGGTATCCTCTTTCTTTAGGACAATGAGTTTTGGAAAAAATATATTTTAAAGAATATTATATAGAGTTAGAATTGAGGCTTATTTTTACTAAGTTTCATCACTTGTCCTAGATAAGTAGTTCTCAACCATGTTAGACTCAAGGCACCCCTTGGAAAATGCCAGTTCTTCGTTTTTACTTGTTGTTTTGACCACAGAAAAGTAACAGAACAATTCTTCTGTTGCAAAGAACTGAGAACGAGCACAGCAGGTCAGAATGTGTTTAGCACAATAGATTCCTGTTTGAATTTCTGTGTTTATCTTGTGAATAATGTTCGCATGCCTAACAGTGCTAACATTGTGTGGAACCACATGGCACCCTTGAAAGGTTCTCAGAGCACCCCCAGGGGGCTGTGGCACCATGGTTGAGAATCACTGGATTGCATACTCTTGCAAAAGCCAGTCTGGGCTAAAGTGAGAATCCAGGCCTGATCTGAAAAGAAAAACTAATTTACAAGCCAATCTGTATTATTTTTGTAGAACTGTCTGGTCATTCAACAGATACTTTTCCTGGGGAAATATAACAGATCCTATATTTGGAGGCAAAAGTCTCTCTGATGTCAGGGGAACACCCTGTACCTGTTGCAAGCTTTTACAGTCTGTAGTGGGTTTGTTTAAACTGAATCAGGCTTTTCACTTGCTTCAACTTTGCACTTCAGAGAAATTCTAGGTTGTTCTGTAGCAGCCAGGACTGTTTCTGTGGTAACAGGTGATGGGAGTCAGGGCTTTCTTTCCTATATGGTTGGAGAGAGATAAACCAGGACAAGGAGCATGTGCAGGTGTGCATGGGGATCAGTGATCCTGTGGACACCACTTTTTCTCCAAAACACTCTTCTGTGGAGTTTTATAGTGTTGGGAAGATGGGCTCTTTCAGGTGGCATGTTTTCCAAATGAACTGGAGGGGTTTTGAAGTGTTAAAGTATTAAAAACTGTTAGAACCATCATTATTTCCTCCAGTTTCTCCTTTACTTGAAGATGGGATACCGCACAGTGCCAGGGGGAACGTTCATTTACAGTAGAGGTCTTGGGAGTAATTTAAGGGCTCTTGAGGAAAAGGACACTCGGAGGATGTGGAGGAAGTCCACATCTGGCCATAGTTCAGGATTCAATGAGACATTTGTCCCGTATGGCTTATTGGCATCTGGGATCTGCAGGCCCAGGTTCATGGGATGACTCTCATAGAGAAGTGATTCTCAGGGTGCTAGGGCACCCTGGGGTACCTTTGAAGGGTCAGATCCTTTGAAGGGTGCCTTGAGGTGTGAGGAGATAAGCAGATAAACCAGGCTCAGACTTGTCCCTGCCTGAACAATCTCCTATCTCTTACTGCCCAGCCCCTGTGTAGGGGGGTAAGCTCTGTAATGTATAAATTAACTACTGAAATTGGGTGCCAGTCAATTTGCAAAAGCTATGGAGGGGTGTCTTGAGTCCGCTAAAGGGTGACCCTTGAGTCTACAAAGGTTGAGAACACTGTTTATATGTTTTTTGTAGACATATTGGATCTATGATGATCAAGACCTGAAGCAGTACAGGTAGTTAATTTCCTTACATTGCCTTGAGCCAACAAGGGAAAATCTGGACCCTCAAAGGCATGAATTCAGGTTGCTTAGCCAGTATTTGTGCCTATGTGTCACCAATATGTGGACAAGGTTCTTTGGGTAGATGTGATATCTTTTATTAGACCAACTAAATGTGATAGCTCAATGTGATATCTAGATATATTTTATTAGACCCAGAAGAGCACACAAATCACCAGCAAACTCTCCCTATGCCCGAAGAAGGGTGTTTGTGCTACAAATCTTACAAACAGCAATTTTTCCAACTATTTAGTTGGTCTAATAAAAGATCTCACATCTACCCAAAGAACCATGTCTGCCAGTGTCCTTAGACCAACATGGCTACAAACAACATCATCACCAGTATGTGTGCATTAAGAATATATTAGATGGAAAATATATGTAATGGAGGATCATTGTACAGGATGTGGATTTTCCATTTTCCTCTGACACATCTGGCAATGAGCAGCACTGGAAGAAAGATACCAGACAAGATGGACTGAGGACTATGAGGAATGGCTTTCTAAATAAATGCTGAAATATATTTATTTGTATAATAGTCCCTAGAGACCAAAGATCTTATTCACTTTCAGACAGTATTTACTGTACAACTTTATTTTCTTTCATCAAATAATATATTTTAAATTATGGGACTAAAGAATTTTAATTAAAACACAGAAAGCCAGGCATGGCCTTTTTTCTCCTTTAAGCATAGAATTAAAGCTAGAAGGTGCAAAAGTTCTAGCACCTGCCTTCTGTTGCTGAGACCTGGATGTAAGCAAAGGATGGTAGGCCTATGATCTATCTTCACCAGAAGCAAAATCGCTATCTGCCTTGTATTTAAGGAAAAGACGAGAGTAATGTCAACGGGTACTAGCTATACTACAATACTTGTAAATCAGATAGTATATTAATAGTCATAGTGTATTAATGCCGCTGGCATTGGTTTTGCTACTGATATGAAGTTTTATCCTGCCACATCCGCTGCAGACCTACACACACACACACACACACACACACACACACACATATGCCAAAACCCCACAGACACAGCTGTTTAAGACATCACAACAGCTGTCACAAATTATTGGTGAAATGGTCATGCCTTGTTTTTAGAGAAGAAGAGAAGAGAAGGCTGAGATGGGATCTGGTGGCCATCTACAAACTGGCCAAGGGAGACCAGCAAGCAATGGGAGAGTCCCTGTTCCCCCGAGCGCTACTGGGAGTAACAAGAAATAAGGGCCAGAAGTTGCTGGAGAGTAGATTTCGGCTAGACCGGAGGAGGTGCTACTTCACAGCCAGGGCGGCTAGGATCTGGAACCAACTTCCAAGGGAAGTGGTGCTCGCTCCTACCCTGGGGGTCTTCAAAAGGAGGCTAGATAATCACCTAGCCGGGGTTGTTTGACCCCAGCATTCTTTCCTGCCCATGGCAGGGGGTCGGACTTGATGATCTGCTCAGGTCTCTTCCAACCCTACCAACTATGAAACTATAAAAAGTCAAACAGCAGCAGGAAAGAACAGTAGCTAGCAGGTGGTTTCAGGATATCAGAGAACACCATGGGCAGAGACCCATCAGACCCTCTAATGCCATCTCCCTACCTTCTGTTCTTTTGCTGCATGCTTGCTGGTGTTTTGTCAGATCACATAAGCTAAATGATTGAGTTCCTATCTTTTTCACTGGGAGACAGATATGCAAACTGAACACGCTTTCCTAGTACGTATGGCGGAAGACAATCTGAAAAGGAGGATGCAAAGCCAAAAACAATTGAAAAAAAGTTGTTGTCTCTTTCCTGTTCTGTAAAGAATTCCCCAAACTTTCCAGATAACTTCTGTTATCTTGCCACAGCTGGCTATTATGCAGGTAGGAAATCACTTGAGTGACAAGTGTTAAAATGATATTAAAATGTACTTCCCCTTTCTTTGCAGAACTGGGACAAGGGTGGTTTCTCTGTAAAGTCTGATCAGTGCTAAGTGTAAAAGCGTTAAGTGATGGTTCTGCAATTGCAAGGGGCACTATGCT